ATATATATATATATATATATACTCACTTACATATGTATAAGGGAATTTTTCTTATTCTAAGAGTAAGTCTTAGTAGATTTACTTAATCAATTAACCTAGGATTTTTATACAACAGTAATGACAACAGTAATAGTGATGGTGACAACTATAATATTGGAAATAATAGTGATGGTGTTAGTAGCAATGGTAGTGGTGATAATGACGGTGGTAGTGGCAATAATATTAATGGTGGTGACAACGACAATGACAATAACAATCGTAATGACATTTATAATAATTATGATGTTAATGGTGTATGGTAATTTTGATTATAGCCATTTAATATGAACTGTCTAGTTTAATTATTATTATCAATAGTTCTTATTTTTCATTATAAGAAATGTTCTCATTTAAAATGTATTTTTTATATATTGTGTTGACAATATTGTTACATATAATTGATGAGGTTATTTTATGATATTTATCTGAGGAGATATTTTATAAGAGTTAGTTTTATACACTATCAGTTATGAGTTATGAGGAGTGTCTTTTATAAGACTTATTTTTATAAAGTTATTTCACACACGACTCCACAATGATTAAGAGGCTTTTTAGATAATGATCAAATGTTATTTCACACACAACTTCACAATGATTGAGAGGCCTTGAGTCATCACCCAAAATGCCTCTCAATCATTGGAGTATGCTTGTGTTTTATAAGTTGTTATTTCTTCTCTTATTTTATTGATGTGAAACTTATTTGTATCCCAACAATAATTTCATAAATTTTCATAGGATTTTGCTAATTGTAGGAATGACTTTTGACATGAAAATGAATTGTTTCACGTCCTTAATGATCTTGATAGAGAAAAATACTTGGTATTTTTAAATTAAGCTTCACAATTTTAAGTCCATCATTATCATTTTTATTCAATACATGAGTTGAACTTATGCTAACATCTATAAAACTATTACCAAAAATGTCGTTCTGAGAATTTTTTAAGTGAATTCGCCAATCCTAGATGAAACCTCATCTTCAACATTACTAGCCGATAAATATCATATTTTTGAACTTATTATTCAAACCTAAGAACTTGAATGAGAAGATGTTTTGTATATGTGGAGAAATGTTACTTTGAAAGATATGAAAGTAGGATCAATTATCTTTTAAAAATTGAAAAATATATTAACTTTATTTTTCTTTGTTTCAAAACTTATCATTTATATTATATTTTTCATTAATTATATTTTTATTTAGATGTCCATGTTATCTTATGAATTTATAACATGTTTTCATATTAAAACAGTCTTTCAAAATCTTGATCTAATATGTTTCTAATTGTGTCATTTGGGTCAAATTAATAATAATTTTTTTAATAAAATAAATACTTTTTAATGGGTTTGTATAAAAATTTATTTTAATAAAATCTTTTTCTATATTTTTTTTAAAAAAATACTCTTAGACTTTTTTTTTTTTTTTTTTTTTTTTTTTTTTTATAACAAAAAAAAAAAA